TAAAACACATTTTCTACAATTAAAACTAGAGTCTCTACGTAAAAACCGGCAATTCGGCCAACGGGCAAGAAGGCAGACTTTTTCCATGCACAAAATGGAAAATTTCCTTTTGCTCCCACTCGGCAAAAAGACACCGAAGGTGCAGAAGCTGACTTAATTCATTGTTCTGCTAAGTTTCAAATGTAAACAAATAGGGCAGCTATGGTAAAAAAAATTAAGGTGCACAGGGAGGTGCACAGCTGCATGTTATAGTAGTCCTATATACAAAATTTCAACGTTCTGAGGCTACTCGTTTTTAAGTTATGCGAGATACGTACGTTCGTACTTACAGATGCCACGAAACAATCTCATCAGAATTAATTTTAAATTTGTTTTATAATTCGTTTTGGGAAAAGTATCCTTTATTCTGTCCTTGGGTAAAGATGTAAAGCAAAAACATCGCTAAATTGCATTCGAAAGCGGTCAAATGGATATTTTCTTTGGAATATGATACCGGGAATTTTTTGTGATTACAATACTTTCTTTACTTTGTACAAGGAAGTAAAAAGTATGCGTTAAACTGGTCTTGCATGTACCGATTAAGGCTGAATATTTATGGATTATCCGGCTCAGGAAGGGCTGCTTTTGTCGAGGAATTTTTAACGAAAATTAGCGAATATATTATCCGTTGGAAATAATAGGAAATCCCGTGTTATTAGCTTGCTCACCAGGATCTGAAATTGAGCCGAACTATTATTATTATTATGCGGTCCTACCGCTCAGCCAAAATCTTAATGATACAAAGGATTTATTTAACTAGAATCAGATGAATATTGGTTATGTATTAGAAACTTAAATTCCTAGAAGTTACATATGGAAGAATGTGGCAAATCTTTCAAACTAATGTCGCACATAAAACTTACAAAAATACCGAATAAGTACCGTTTGATTCTGACTGGAATGAAAAACATGGCAGAATGTATGGATATCTCCCATTTAAAAGTTAAAATGGTTTTCGAAACACTGATGAAAGGTCAAATCGGCTGCTACCCTTTATCAGTATTGTTTAGAGACAAAATTTTAGAAGACAACCTTAACGTCACATTGATTACTTCTTAAAATATTTTCAATATCATAAATTGTGTAGTCTGTTCATATTTGCTTAGTTTTGTCTTTATAATGTAAGTCTTAAAGTTATTTCTTTGAAAAAATTCAATGAGTCTGCAATATTGATTGAAAAGTGTTTAAGTCTGTAATTTTATGCACTTTCAAAACAGAAAACTCAATCTGTTGTCTAAGTAAGATGTTGCATCCGGACTTTAGTTGCAATTAAATTTGTCTTTGCAATTAAAAGAAAAACAAGGAATTTATTTTCACATTTTTTATTTTGATTTAAAAGTAATTCCATTATTGTGTCATATTGCTCTTGTTGATGAAATAATTTAAGAGCATATGGAGATAAAAACAAACTACAGAACTGTTTACTTTCATAAATTGTTCCTTAGACTTCTCACTTCAGTCTTTCACGGTATTTTATTAATCTATAATCGCAGTCCTTAGTTCCTAAAAAAAATATGAATGTTTATAAGATCGATAGCAGTTTCGAATTTCTAATAACAAAATGAACTGGAAATCGGCTGATTTAACTTAAAATTAATCCTCGAATATCTAATAGCAAAATGAACTGGAAATCGGCTTAAGTTAAAATTTATCCTGGAATACCTAATAACAAAATGAACTGGAAATCGGCTGATTTTACTTAAAATTAGTCCTAATCAATAATTTATTTTAATTTCATTATGGCGACAAGAATGAGTATATTAAAAGAAATTTTAATAACTTTGCATGAAAAGAGGTGATGTTCTAATGGGAAACAAGAACAATGGCTTATTTCTTCGTGTAAAAAACGTGGATAAATAAACTTTTCATGCCCTAACTTAACCTACAAAATCATTATTACCTACGCATGTTTTTTTATTAACAACATTACTTACGTACTGAGGCCAAGTGGTATCGCTAAACACTGGTAGTTCGACTTAAATTCAAATCCTGGCGAATGGGATGGCTGCATGGAGGTTTTCATAATTTCCTCCATATATAACCCGGATAGAAACCACTTTAAAGTCAACCATGAAGGAATCTTTCGCCTTAAGCAGATAAGGCTCGTGTGCTTCCCGTAAACTTTAGAACTGTCCCCAATTCAAAATTAACCGTTGCTCACAATGTAAAATTCCAGTGAAGAGTACAATATTTAAACCAGTGTTTCTTATAAAAGCTAAACTTCTCATCCCTCTTCCTTTTGCCAAGAAAAATTTAAAATCAAATGAAAGGAAAAATTATTATTCGCGATTTTCCTAGATTTTATTTATTGCCTCTTCTCTAATTTCAATGACAATTAGTATGCTTATTTTATCAGCAGAGAATTGTATCATCAAATGAGAAAAGTTCATAACTTTTGTATTTGTCGGGCTTGAATAACTAGCTTCTAAATTAAAAGATATGCGACACCTATACTTCAAAATATTTTCTTAAATTTATAAGGATTAATTTCTAATTTCCAGGAAAGAGAATGCCTTGCAAAAAGTTGTCGAGCATTAGTGAATTTTCTGTTTATGGCACTTCTCATTCATTTAATGCTACCGAAAAAGACAATTTTGTCAGAACCGCGTAAATTGCCACTTTATTAGTAATCTGTGCAGCAACATTGTTGCTTTCTTACGTACTGTCAATAGACAAATATTTGGTTTATTTTATAAAATCTTATTTAAGGTGAGAAGATTTTCATTCTGAAGCTTCTAGAAAGAAATATCTATCATATTTGTCATTAGATCCACCATCATTAAACGATGCTCAGTACCGACTGGATCAATATTTGTAAATAACTGAAATAGTGTGACAAACATCAATTTTAGATTAGAGAACGAAATACAGCTTTCACCGCTATACCTGAAAAGTGAACAAGGAAAGACTCGTTATGAACACCCCCTTGGCGGTATATCCGACAGCTCTGGCAAGAGAGAAGAATTTTTTTTTTTTCATCGGAGAAAGGCCGAGCGAGTAAGACGCATCCACGCGTAGGGAAAGCCGTTGTCTCTTCCCTTCTGTAATTAATACTATAATGTTACTTTTTAATTAACCAAGAAATCCTATGTTAAGTTTTAAAATAAATATTAGAAAATCATATGTGTACACCACATGACTTCCTTGTACAGAAAATCAAAATACATACATGTATTTTTTCCTGCATTTCACTTATTTCCTCAAATTTCATTCGAGATAGATTTCTCATTCAATTAATTCAGTTCTCACTTCACGACAAGGCAAAAATGCATAAAACCTCAAAATATCTTTATTAAAAATTGAAAAATACAGAAAAATATAAAATACCAAAGTTTACTTTTGTTCCCATTCGGCAAACAGACACTGAAGGTGCATAAAGTGTATTAAATGTTCTGCTAAGTTTCAAATGTAACCAAATACGGCAGCTATGGTAAAAAAAAATTAGGCTTAGCCGCACTTCAATAACTTTTAAGTTGTTGATATATATGCAACTATTGCATGCAGATTAACTAAAGGCATAAAAAACCTTAACCAGAAGATAAGAATAACATAATTCAATCATTTTGAAAGCAAAAAATGCACAATTTACCAACATGTAAGAATAAAAACAACTGAGCTCACGAAGCCGAGTAACAGAGTGGGTCTATATATATGTATATATATTTATGTACTTCTAGTGCGACCAGTTGTAACGAAAAAGGGCGATGCACAATTTTATCTTATAGCAGTCCTATACAGAGTGATTCTGAATTGTTTTTACAAATTAAGAGGGGTGATAGTACTCATCCGGACGAGCAATATAGGGTCGCGTTGCACTCTGAGGGGCAGAAAAAGAGGAACGTAGAAACGCATTGAAGAAGAACAAGGAAGCTATTTCCTAAAGACTATCCAGAATTAACCGTATGCAAATTTTCACCGAGAAGAAGCAGCATTATGCTGTTAGTTTGTCTGTAGCGGAATATACGTACGGGGAATTGGCAGATATTCACCTCACATACGCTGAAGCAAAAGGGAATTGACGCGAAGTACGAAAATTGTACGGATAACGATTTCCAACTCTTCGGATTCCATGTCGTACAGCCTTTTCCAGTGTTGATCGAAGATTGCGAGAAACCGGCTCTTTTGCCATCTCAAAAAGCAATGCAGGACGTTCGCGAAATGCACGAACGCCAGAAACGGAAGAGCAAGTTGTCGACATTTTGAGCACTTCTGTGAGTTTTTCAATAAATAATAAATCTGATTGCGCAACTTTTCGTCTCGTTCATTCGCTTTCCTAACACTGTTGTAAGTTTCAGGTTGGAATTCTAATATTCCTCTTTTCTGCTTCTCAGAGTGGATGCGACCTTATGTTCTATGGTAATTATTTCTCATCTGGATGGGGACTATCACCCCTCTTAATTTGTAAAAACAATTTAGAATAACTCTGTATACAAAATTTAGACGTTCTGAGGCTACTCGTTTTTGAGTTATGCGAGATAAATTCATACATACGTACGTACGCACAGATGTCACGAAAAAATCTCTTCTGAATCCATTTTAAATCCTTTTTGAAACCCGTTTTGGGTAAAAGAGTCCTTTAGTCTGTCCTTACGTACGGATGTCATGCTAAAACATCGTTAAATTGCATTCGATAGCGTTCAAAATGGATATTTTCGTTAAAAAATTATATCCGAAAATTTTCGCGATTACAATACTTTCTTTACTTCGTACAAGGAAGTAAAAAGGCAACTGGTCTACATTTTCCCACCACGGAAGTTCGGCGACTTTACAGTATTTTTGAGCAAATTCTGTAAAATTTCCTATGATACTCGGCTTTCTAAGCAGCCTGTACTGTGTTGAATATATAAAGAACGAAAGACAATTTTACATATATACAATTGTAAAATTAAATGCCATTTCTGAAAGAATATATATCTGCTAAACATGAACATGATCGGTCAGATTAATGATAATATACTTACATCTGTTTAACGTTTTGTGGGAATTATCCGACGTCAGGTGCTGCTCTGAGAATGAAGCTTCGTTCATGTAACTCGATGCGTAAGTGCCCAGGTTAGTAAGAATCAAAAACCGCTGATCAAACTGGCACAGGTAAGTTTTCAGTTTGCTAGCCTGTCGTTTCCTCAAGATTACCTGTCAAAAAATACACATTTAAAGCATTTCAAATATACATTTATTTTCATAGCTTTCATGTAATTCGACTTTAATTCTGGCGAATGAGATTCTGCATGAAAGTTTTCATAGCTTTCCCCAGTTATATAACGTGAATAGGAGCCACTTTTTCTTAGAAAGTCATGCACGAACGAATCCTTCGCCTTAACTAGATAAGCCTCTTGCGCTTTGCTTAAACTTTAGAACCGTCCCAAATTCAAAATTATCGAAAGAGAAAATTAATGTTCGTAATCGAGACATTGTGAATTTCATGAATCTATGACACGTATTTCACTATACCTAAAAGTATTTTAAAAAAAACGAAAGAAAAGTGCTCCAGAAGTCCCGGAAAATCGTATTTATAAATTCTTTGAAAAATTAACAGGCGGTGTAATTTATTGTAACTTTTTGTTTATCAATAATAAACAACTATTTTTGAACTTTGTTTATACTTAATCTTAAAATATTAACCTTAGTAAAAATATTTTATAATAACTAAAACTATGATTTCTTATTTGATTATGGCAAAGCAAGCGAAAGCCATTTGCCTAAGGGAGGATGTCTTCGTGGACGACGTTCTAACGTGGCTGCTATCCACGTTACACATGGGAATAACCGCTAAAACGCTCATATAGCCAGGAATAGAATTCAGGTCAAACCATCCAGTGGATTTATCGCTTTTAAAAGTACCTAAAGCTTACAATGAAGCTATATTTCCTTTCATTATAGAAAAGCCAGCTTTCTGTCTGCAGAAAATTGTTTTTGCCCTCCCACTGAGAGGAACTGAGAAAAGCTCTTAAAATAATCTTAATTGCTAACACTAATTAACTATTAGTAAATCTAGTAAAAGGTTTTAAATACACTGGCCCTTTCAAAGTTAAGGAACAGCACGTTTTTTGAGTCTAATTTGAGAATAAAGCAACATAGAAACCAGGAATTTAGAGGGCATGTTCACTAAACAGTTCTTTAACGAATGCGACATAGAATGTTTCTAAAGTTCAACACAAAACATGAATTATAACACAAAATTGCACTCTTGGCATAGAAATCCAGCCTTGAAGAAAGAGTATATCACAGTTTTTTTAGGACAAATGGGGTGGTAACATTACAAACATGGGTTCTAATAAGGAATGTGGCCACCTCTAGGTGCAATACATTGGCGGCAGGACGTTCCGTGCTGTCAATTAAGTCGTCGGTCAGTGAAATGGGAAACAACGACCAGACACAGAGTAAGCCTTGTTCAAGCTCATCCTACGACCTTGGAGGAGGACTTAAAGCAGCAACCTCCCAAGGTAGTCCCAAAAATGTTCTATCGGGTTCAGGTCTGGGGATTGAGGTCGCCATTCATCCGCTCCATACCGTGACCCTCATATATCCTTCATATCCTCCTATATCCTTCAGCAACCCGAGCTCGGTGCGGTCGCGCATTGTTGTCCATCAGAAGAAATCCAGGACCAATAGCAGCAGCATATGGACGGACATATTAATCAAGGACCTCGTCTCGATATCTCATACCGGTCAAAGTTCCTACATGGAACACATGCAGGTCAGTGTGTCCACCGAAAGACATCCCAGCTCAAATCATTTTCCACCACCTCTGAAACTGTGTCTTTCCACAATGTGGGATTGGCTGTATCTGGTGCGTTGTTCCCTCCAGATCTGCTGACGACCTGAATCACTCTCCAATGCGAACCTGGACTCGTCTGTGAAGAGAACAGACGTGTTCTCTTGCCCAACATAAACGGGCACCTCTGTGTCCTCGGATCAAGCGGACACAAACAACTGGTCGGCTTGCATACACACATGTATTGTGCAAGCATCTGCGTACTGTAGTAGCTGAGATTCTTGTTCCTGTTGCCACCGAATGATCTGCCATGAGCTGACACACAGCAATGTTACTCCTCCTTTGGGCCGAAAGAACTAAATAACAGTCTCCCGCGGGTGTTTTAACTCTAGGTCTGCCTAGAACATGTCTTTTGGCCAACGACTTCTCCTGTACACTGATGACTCTCCTGTATATTGTCCACGAAAGTGTAATAACAATGAAGATAAACACTCGTGAATAAAAATTACAATTTTTGAACTTTTCTCAAACTCCAGCTTTCGCTCTGCCAACATGCTGCTGCTTCTTGCTTTCTCTGAAACAAAGAATTACCCATTGTCTTAAAATGTGCTAAGCTTATAAAATTGTCGGATGCATATTGCAACCCTCCTGATATGTGAATTAGATTATTGTCCAGGAATTGCTTTAAAAAGAAATAAAAATTTTGTTCGAAATATTCGGCCACGTCCTCAAATTGTTACAACGCAACATCTTCTAATTCTCAATATATATACACGGCTCTGGCATTCTATGTGAGCAGATGGAAATCAACAAGTCATCTATACCATCGAATTATTGCAGCATATATATATAAGAGGTGTTCAAATGAAAAGGTACGGAACGTCGTAACAACCAAACCGGTTGAAATTTGAATAAGCCGGTCTGGCGTAACGTAGTGAGACATCTAACCACGCGAATGTAGTGTCCGACGTTGTTGTTGTGCGTGTGGGCAAGCGCCCGCGCGTGACGCTGAAGTGTAGGCAACTGTGTACTCCGTCCAATTGATGCGCCAGGGCGTGATATGACATCTTAACGTTCACATTGCAAAATTCTACAATTGAGGTGCAGCGAGAAGTCAGATTTCTGACTGTGGAAGAGGTTAAACCGACCGATATTCATCGCCGATGGTGTTCGTATACGGAGGAGCCTGTGTGTTCGACAAGTCAGCGAGAAAGTGGAGTGCCAGTTTTCGTGAAGGCCTGGAGTGTTTGAGCGATGACCCGAGACCAGGTCAGATAAAAACGGTAATCACGGCACAACTTATCAACAAGGTGAATGACTTAATGAGAAACGACATCTCAATGGGAAGTGCTTCAACTAGGACGACGAGCTGAAGGACACAGTAGAGGACTGACTCCTGTCACAGCTACAGGAATCTGGGAAGAGGGAATTCTTCGGCTCGTGAAACAGAGGGGTAGTTGTGGTCAGACTTTTGGTGATTACTTGTGAATAACGACTTCAATATAACCATAGTTCCGTTTCCTACCTTTTCATTTGAACAACCCTGAAATATATATATTTGTAACAGAATGATTTAGGAATAGCAGCCATGGACTGGCAATGAAATAATGCGGAGATGCTGTACTGAATAGTTAGAAGGGTGATACCTGCAGATAGACGTGCCCGTAAATTCAACACATAGTTTCATTCCTTGATAACTAATTCTTAGGATGCATGTTCATCTTTACACATCATGAGTGCGCTATGCACCCCTCAATTTTATATAACTTATAGTACCTTTAGCCAATGGACAAGATAGTAGGAAACAGAACGATTAAAGCGGAAAGGAGAGCACGCATTTAACAAAGCATGAGATACACAGGGCGAATCTGAACAAGTGAGCAAAACTTTAGGGGGTGACTGAAGCTATACGAGCATTATTCATTATAGAATGTATGGTCGGAACGCAAACGGTGAGCTGCTAGGTGGCATTGTAAATAAATGGTATAAAAAGGGTCAGTCCTCTTACCTAACAGCATTTTCTACCGTGGATTGCCTAGAGGATTGCTGGTCATATGAACCACGAAATTTCCAGGGCGATGGATTGGTCGAGGTAGTCCCATACCTTGGCCACCAAGATTACCGGATTTCTCGTATTTTAACTTTTTCCTGTGTGGCCGCAAGAAAAGCCTAATCTACGACTGCCCCGTTGAAACCGATATGGATCTAATTGTCAGGACTGCTGTTGTTACCGGCGATATTCGGGAAATGCCCGGTGTATTTCCAAATGTGCGTCAATTCCTATCCCGCAGATGTGAAGCCTGCATGACAGCTGGCGAAAGGTCTTTTGAGTAGTTTTTGTAAGAATGTTCTGGTAATAAAATTTTTTCTGAAGCAGCTCCTCTCATTCTTGTGTTAATTCTTTAAATGTGAAAGCGGAAAACTACCCTTTAATTTCTCACCGCCTGCATTCCGACCATACATGCTATGACGAATATTGCTCGTATAGTTTCTGTCACTCCCTAAAGTTTTGCCCACTTGTTCATATCCATCCTGTATACTCAAAAGTTTCTTCAATCTGATTGAATGAGAGCCGTCGCATTGCAGCATGATTACATAAGCAAGCAAGAAACGGATTAATTTTGAAAAAAAAAACGGTGGCCAGATTTATTATAAACTATTTAAACAAAGTTATTATAAACATTTTCTACTCTTGAGACAGAAAAGAGATTTAGCCTGACTAAAAGAAAGAATTAAATAGACTATTGCCAAATCAGAGTTATTAGTTTGATTTCTCATATAAATCCTGTTTTTCATAAAATCCTGCCAAATCTTCACTGCGGATTCAACATTAAAGTTGCGACGTTAAAATCTAAATCTTTTTGAGACTTTTATTTTATGAATTTTGCATCGAAATTAGATTTTATGCATCAGAAATGTGATCAGTTATACTGAAAAAGCAGAATTTTTATGCTTCTTACCTTATGTTTCCAAGAACTTCTGATTCCTTCTCCCCATGCAGAATCCTTTTCCAAGAGAATGTTGTAAACAGTAGCACTCGATATAATTCCTGAACGAGCTTCTATTCTTCCCAAAAATATAAGAGGCGCAGTACAGACAGACAAATTAATAGTCCGATTATCCAAATCTAGAGCTGTAACTGACTGGAAAGGCACAACTATACGAGCCATTTGTTCCCACATAGGTGAGCTGGTCCATTCCGCTTGATTGCACTTCGATACAGGAAAATCGTAAAGAAATTGGCTGCAATATTAAAGGATGTAAATGTGGTTTCCAGTACCAAATAATTTTAATGCATTTCATGCACACACTGGTCAATGAATTAGAAACCAAAGATCAATATTTTATTGGATCACCTTTCGCAAGGGTAACTGCTATGATTCGTTTGGGTATCGAGTCTACATGGTTTTGGAGTGCATTTAGGTCCAGAGAATACATGCATTGGTTATGCAGTTTTTCGATCTTGTAAATTAGGTGGAAGAGGAGAGTGCTGTTGGATGTGACTTTCCACCACATATCCCACACATTTTCTATGGGGTTAAGATACGGACTATGCGGTGGCCAGGGAAGGTGTTGAAAGTCAGACTGATGTTCAGCGAACCAATTTTTAAACACTACTGGCACTATGTATAGTTGCATTATCGTTCATGAAGTATCCGTCGCCATCATTGTAAAAATGCAGCATTGCAGGGTACACTTGATCTGCCAATATATCTAGGTATCTCATGGCTGTTTGTTTACCCTCAAGGAACACCAGGGCACCACTTCTATGCCAGCAGAACAGACCCCATATCATGATACTCCCACCAGACCCTTGCTTCAGAGGTTCTCGTCAAATTCGACGTCTTCCACCTGTGCAAAATATGGTGTAGCATGATTTATCCGTTTCCAATCCCCAAACGTCCAGTGTCTTCTTTCGCGGCACTACTGCAAATGAATTCTTGCATGTCGGGCAAAAATGAGTAGTTTTCTCACAGGCACCCAACTAAGCATTCCTATCCTCTGCAATTCTCTGCGCATGGTTCGAGCTGTAATCTGTTGGGAAGAGCCTTGGCTGACGATTTGTGTCAGTTGAAGCACAGTAGAGTCTCTGTTCTGACATACAATTCGCCGGAGATGCCGCCGATGACTCTCTTGGAAAACTGTGCTCGAATCTCAGTTAAGTCTTCTGGAGAAGGACGGTGGGTTCTGATTCCATCTTTTGAAAACCTTTGATATGGCTGCTTTGGAGAACCCAGTAATATTTGCTGTCTTCGAGATCGAGGCCCCTGCTAAACCAGCACCAACAATAAGCCCTTTTCAAATAGTGAAAGATCTGTCGTTTTTCCTATTTTACTCCATTCATCGTGAAAAGCACTCTTACAACTTATTTATACTAGCATTCTAATCACGTGCAAACCACGTAATAAAAAAATTTGTAAACTTCATCCCTAGCACGCATTCAATTGAAAATCTCAAGGGTTTCTAATTCATTGGCCAGTGTGTGTAATTGCAATGTTTTGAGTTCACAATTTAAACGTACCGCTTAGTGAACAGAACTTTAAACTTGCTTCTGAATCGACCTGTGGAATCCACATCATCTTCCACCTGTAAATATGAAGCATATGAGAATTGAATCGCTAATCATATATTTTTACTTTACTGCAACTAAATCAAATATCATAAATGGAAATATTTGTCACCAAAATTGAATTAAACTCTCCAATCCTACGATCCTCCTATCTCAAAAGTTATGTGATGACGATTAATTTATTGAAAAGGAAATTTATTTTACCGCTGAAGGTGTACAGAAGCTTCAGAAAGAAAAAAAACCGAAATCGTCTGGAATCGTAGACATCTTATATTTCATTGTATTTATGCTCGATTAACCTTGAATACATGTATAAAATTTGGATAGCTCATCCTGAGTACTGAAAGTAACATTAGACATTAGTTTTGGCTTAAATCAAAATTTAACCCATTAACTAACATAAAAAATTTTTGCCCTCAAATTACATTTATATCTGAGTGTCTAGATTGGCATAGAGATTAGACTGGAATATAAATGTAATATAGGTGGAATCTGCCATGAAGCCCTTTATGGGGACTGACATTCAAGCAGCCCTCACCGGAAAATAAATTTCAGATTGACAATAAATGGTTAGTAAATATATTCTAAAACCATTAGAAAACACGGCAGTGCATGAGTGTTGTAAATGATGTACATAATAATATGTATTAATATCAAAAAATGCATACCCAACAAAGGAACATGCAACTAGCTCTTATTAAAACTAAAGTTGCATCTCGTGTCTTAAAGGAAAATCCACCCCCCCCCTCCAAAGAGATATTGCAAAATCTTTAAATATCTCTGTAGGAACTGTGAACAAAATTATAAAATTTGATTTAAAGCTAATCAAAACAAAAGAACAATGTTCATCGCCTAACGTCGAAACATGTTTCTCGACGTAAGACTATGTGCAGATTGCCGTATGAAAGTTATTTGGCAGTTGAAAAGTGGAAATATATAGGTGCAATTGATGAGACTTCGATATACTTATCAGAAAAAGAATAGAAAAGATGGATTTATTATGAAAAAGAGGAGAAAAAGGCTTAATATGTTGGTTCAGAGAAAAGAAAGGAAGTTTTTCTAAAGGTGTTATGGTTATTTTCTTTATATTCTAAAGGTGGTATGATTCTCTTATAAAGGAAAACTTAAAATAAGGAAGTAGAAAAAAATGTCAAAATTAATTCAAAGTACCATCAGAAATTTGTTCTAACACATGTTTTTCAAGAAGAAATTCCCTCTCTTTATTCAAACAATCTTTATTGTGTTACGTTCCATCTGGATAAGACTCCCAGCCATACCTCTAAATCTAGTAGTTTATTTTTTGAAAAAATGAGAAATGAAACCAGATTTGAAGCTATTCCCTTTACATGCATCCCACTCAAGTCTCCTGATGTGTCTCCTATGGATTATTGTGCATTTGGACTTTTAAAATAAGCTCCTTATAAGCAGCTTCCCGAAACATTGGATGGACTCTGGAAAATTGTGAAGGAGGTGTGGAATAAAATCAACCTTCATGTTGTAAGAAAAGAACTTTTATCTTAGAAATCAAGATGTAATAGGATAGTACAACAAAAGGGCCATCAGACTACATATGTTTATATATAAATCTTTGCAAAACTGTTACAAAAATGGGTGAACGTCCTCTGTATTGCCTCCTGTTTTCAGAGGAATGATGTTTTCTGAACATGTATCTAGTTAACTATTACAGTGATTTTGTTTTCTTTTTTGTTGTAAATCATACACTGAGTGACGTACTTTGATTATTAAGTAACTTTGCTTTCAAATTCAAAAGAATCTTTTTTTCTATAAAAACCACGCAGAGTATGGGCACATATTTGATTTCAAAGCAAAAGGAAGTTAAAAGAAATTGATACTTAACTACCTACCTTAAAAGGTCCTATTACGAGCAAGGACATATCATAATGCCGTGGTCTGTGCTCTTTTGCATTTACAATTCCGTCCTTGAATGGAGGTAGAAAAATTGCTGCAAAAATATAAGCGAAGAAAAATGCAAATGAAATGCAATTACTGCAGTAAAAGTAATAATCGAGGGCAAAACAGAGTAGTTACAGTTGAATTCTTTCCTTTGTTTCATACATAAGAAGAAAAATTTGAGTACAATATTATAAGAACATTATTAATAATAATCAAGCATTTGTAAGGTATAAGATAAAGGTTTAATTTTATAACAGTTACTTTACTAAAGTGAACCTTTCCTATCTTATCTCATTTCTACTTACGACTCTCTACCAGAATGAGTTTTTAGAAATGCGTTGAATGCAAATGAGGAAGAGATAGTCTTAAAGGAAAGTTCAACTGACTTCGAGAGAGAGTTAAGAGGTTATCAACGTTAGTGACGGTCCCTACTAGACGGGACTTTTCTGAGAAACGAGATTCTGGTAGCACTGGTTCAAAGGGGAGGATTCCTAGAAAAAAGCAACTCTCCTAGAAGCGAGGTCCCGCTTAACTACGGGAATAATGTAGCATCTACGCGAGATTTTTTGAAACCTCACCGAAAATGTTTCGGCTGCAGCTCTGTCCCGGGTAGAGATCAACCAATCAGACGAAAGTTCTGCTTCTGAAGGATCATGCGATCCAAATCTGATATCGATTGCTGTTTGACGTTCAAGTCTTTGTAATAAGTGAAAATGGTAACCTAGCTACGTAGGTTCCCTGGAAATGTGCGGATTTCTGAGAATTGTCCCTTTCGACGGTAAGTCTCTCGTAGCCGAAACATAATGTGATTGGGACTTTAGGAATCCTGAGTAGCGCACGTTTGCCTTTGGGCTACGTCTCTGTTGTTGTTACGCTGTATTATTACGTGCCTTTTGATAGTTCGCCAGCTAGTTTAGCTTACGGGCCAACTACATTAGAATTGTGTTTGCTTTGAGTAAATCTCTTAGTTAGTCAGACTTAGTTAGTTCTTATTTTCTTACTTTTGAGTTTAAGCCCAACTGGAGGCTTTGCTGTAAGTCCGAAGAAAAAGGCCGACTGTTCGATTTATTTTGGAATGAATAAAAGGTAATTAACCCTTCTTGAGTTTACGATCTCTGTCCTCTGAGCTAAGCCATAATTCACTGAACAGTTCTCTAGGCTTCTCGGCACTTCGTTTAGCAGAATAAACGTGAGGAACTCAGTACATTATTAATAATTACCTTCAATTATGTAGTTATAAAAAATTGTAAAACATGTTACATGCACCATTCGTAGAAAAGCAAAATTTCCTCCCTAATGTTTTTAATGATTATTATTTTATGAAAAGCAAAATATTTTAATATGATTTATATGAAAAATCACCGTAAGCGAAGAACTGTCAAAGTAAAACATTATGGTCTTCCTTGATCTAGCAGTCTCTTGTACACTTGTTTTTATTGAATTTAGTGAGAAAATTGACATGACATTTATAGAGTAAACTGAAAAGGTTAGTTAAATTTAATGATTGAGCAAACCAGCGGCATCATAGATACACAAAATGTAATTGCAAATATAATTGCAAATAATTGCAAATATAATTGCAATTACAATTAAACTGAATTGGTAATTAACACTTGCAATTTAACTGTGATTATAGCCTATAATTATAACCACATATTTGTGCGTAACAACTGATATTTTACAACTTTAATTATAATTAAATTACCGCAAAATCTCGTTTATCCAAACTGAACCGGTTGCAAACAAAAGGGATTATGGCTAACATTATTTTCGTAGAATTCATAAGAACTTCTTCCTGCAGATGCGGTCCTACGGCTCTTTCGTAGGACACAAACGGGATTCTTTGCGGTATTTTTTTCGTATTCTGTACATGTTATCCATTCTAAATTTTTTGTCTCTGCCGAATCAATGTCTCTTTCGCTGTCTAATACCCTGACTTTTTGTCCTCTTACACATGAAAAACATAATTCATCTTCATTTGAACAGATTCTTTCACTTTATTTCATGCATACTGCATTAGGCATGCATGGTAATTCCATGCATTGGGCTACGTAACTTGGAAAATAATATTCCTACTGCCATGACTATCGAGTTCGAACTAACGTCGATAACGAATGTATGACAATAAATCTAAAAAATATAATGCGTACACCACATGAATTCCTTGTAGGGAATATTACATTACACGCATTTTTTCTTGCATTTCAGTTAAACTTATTTCCTCGAATTTCATTAGACATATATTTCTCATTCAATTAAATCAGGTTCTCGCTTCGCGGCAAAGCAAAAATACATAAAAACGCAAAATACTTTTATTAAAAATTAAAAGGCATAGAAAAACATAAAACACCAAATACTGTTAAAACTACTAATAAAATAATTTTAACAATTAAAATTACAGTTTCTACGCAAAAACTAGCCATTCCGTCAGCAGGCAAAAAGGCAGATTTTTCGGTACACAAAACTAAAAGTTTCCTTTTGGTCCCACTCGGCAAAAAGACACTGAAGATGCAGAAAGACTTAATCCATTATTTCGCTAAATTTCAAATGTAAACAACTATGGCTGCTATGGTAAAAAAATTAGGCTTAGCTTGACTTAAATAACTTTTAAATTGTTCATAATTCTATAACTATTGCAGGCAGATTAACTAAAGGCATAAAAACCTTAATCGGAAGATAAGAACAACATCATTCAATCCTTTTTCAAGCAAAAATGCACAATTTACCAATATATAGGAATAAAAAACTGAGCTCACGGAGCCGAGTAACAAAGTGGGTATATATATATATTTAAATACTTTTGGTACAGTCGATTGCAACCAAAAAGAGAGGTAGACAATTGCATGTTATAGCAATCCTATAGACAAAATTTCAACGTTGTGAGACTACTCGTTTTTGAGTTATACGAGATATACATACATACATACAGACGGGACAAAAAAAATCTCTTTTGAATCTATTTTAAATCCTTTTTGCAACCAGTTTTGGAAAAAAGTCCTTTTGTCTGTCCTTCCGTTCAGATACGACTTAAAAACGTTGTTAAATTGCATTCGGTAGCGGTCAAAATGAATATTTTCGTTGAAATATGGTACCCGGAATTTTTCGTGATTACAATACTTCGTACAAAGAAGTAAAAACGTGTTATTAAAGATTGAGACCTTTTTTATACGCATGTATTGTTGAATGCACTCATGAAGCGATGTTGCAAAAAAAAAACCTATAAACATCGTCACCTCACGGATTATCGCGTCGAACCGAGTGATGATCGAGAGTCACCTCTCGAGTTACCGCATCAAATCAAGTGGTGACCGATAGTTACCTTTCGAGTGCAAACGATTAACTTTATTCCAGCCCTTAACAATAACACGAAAAACCATGTATTTCTTCAAAAATCGAGTTCGTATATCAGGGAATGCGCTAATTTACTTGAAATTTTAGTGATTTTCTCCGGTGTTTTCCGAATATAAGTCAATGTGTTTTATATAATCATCCTTCTTTAAGCAGATATTCCTTACATGCTTTAATTAAACAAGCAAAATAATCTTCCAGAAAATAATTTTCCTTTTTTTTATACTCCAGTCTGCAACCTTGCAGAGACGCTACACATATAACCCGTAAAACAGAAAATCCATACAGGAATGCATTCATTCATGTGATTACGGCAAAGCCCCGAGGGCTATCTGCCTAAGGGAAGGGATGCCTTCGTTGAGGACTTTCTAAGGAAAACTGGCTTGTATATACATTAAACATGGGGAAAATCACGAAAACGCCCATGCAGCCAGCTCGTTCGCGGGATTCAAACCTCGGAACTACCAGTGTTTAGCGACTTTATCGTTCGGCCGCTGGGCCACACAGGAATAAGCGAGAATTTGGTACAAAACTTAAGTCTACATTAAGTTAATTGAACGCAGGAAAGCGTACCTCGAATATGTACCTAAGGATAAGGATCTCCATGAAACTGAATTCCAGATGAAATTCATTGTTATTTAATCAAACAATTTTTGTTGAAATGTTACCATATGTAATTAGATCACTGCATTACAAATATTGCTTTCGTGGAATATGACAATATGATTAATGCCAAAAAATATAATTACTAAATTAGTTATTAACATTAAATATTTTGACGACGGTATGAATCCTGTCAACCCATTACACAGTTTGTGGCTTGCCTGTAAAGTGGAAAAATTATCTTTGGCTTTGTACAGCTGAAACAATATACCAGCATCGACCACAGGGCCCCCGAGCGGTAAAATCCCTGAGCACTGGCGTTCGAATGCCGAGAACGGGCTGGCTGCATGGACGTTTTCGTGGTTTTGCCTATGTGTAACGTGTTAACAGGAGCCCGTTTCCCTTAGAAAGTCCTCCACATAGGCTTCCCTTCCATCCGTATAGTGCCTTAGGGCGAAACACGTAGCTAATAATAATAACATCTACCACAGTTTCAGTTTGCATAACAGCATGTTTTGAGCGCAGCGTGAATAAATGTGAGAGCTCTGCAATTCGCTGGGAACTGGGTGCCAGTCTGGTTGCCAGTTCTCAATCTTTTTATGTTTTATCCCATGCGTGTATGATTAATACCTCTAAGTTATTTTAACCTCTTCAGCAGCCGAGCGGTAAAGTCGCTGAACACTCGTTGTTCAACCCGGGGGCGGATCCCAACGAAAAGACTGGTTTTCAAGGTTTCTGTTATGTGTATAGTGGATGCGAGCTAAGGCATCGCTCCCGCAGGCAGCCAGCCCTCGTGTTTGCCTTAATCAATTAACCTAACCTAACTTAACCTAGCCAATTTCCGTCAGCACGTCTTTTGTGAAGACACCCAACCTAAGCTAATGAGCCCTTACGTGCTCATATAAGACACATGCAACGACTTTTAGAAAAATTAGTTGGATTTGCTTATTTTAATTTAGCGTGCATTTTCACATATTTTTTAAAGAACTGAATGGTTATAGTTTAATGAAAGCATTAGAAATATAAAGTACTGACATCAGGCACATTGAATAAACGAATATTTTTTATCATAAGTTTGTGAAACATAAAATAGAGATG